ATTCGTGGCTCAGTAAGTAACATATACTCGATCCATCGCTTCAATATCTCCCGCCCCAACTACCATGTTCCTTATCGAGAAAAACATCCGGCAACATCCCACGTCTTCGTGGCTTGAACAGTAACATATACTCGATCCATCGCTTCAATATCTCCCGCCCCAACTACCATGTTCCTTATCGAGAAAAACATCCGGCAACCATGATCCCACGTCTCAAGTGTCCTGGTTGTTTGTTACACCGTTGCTTCCGTTTTGACGGTGCAGTTTATGACTCACTCAACCATTGTTCACCTGTTTTTTTTTCCAATATTTTTGACTTAAAATCGTCATATTTCAAAATGGTATATTATGTACATCGATACCCCGAAAGCAGTAGCGCTGCTAAAATTTTATTCGTATTAAAGAAAAACATCCGGCAACCATGATCCCACGTCTCAAGTGTCCTGGTTGTTTGTTACACCGTTGCTTCCGTTTTGACGGTGCAGTTTATGACTCACTCAACCATTGTTCACCTGTTTTTTTTTCCAATATTTTTGACTTAAAATCGTCATATTTCAAAATGGTATATTATGTACATCGATACCCCGAAAGCAGTAGCGCTGCTAAAATTTTATTCGTATTAAGTACCAACTGCCAACACATTATGGAGTCCTCGGCGATTTCAGTGTCCACAACTCTGAAAAGTTATCTATCCGATCACAGAAGGACGCAGCCTTGCGCTTGTTGATTATTTATTCCAAACCGTCCTACTTCCTGCGACGAGAGTTCCCCACGAACCTCGGGCCTCATCTGAACCACCTCGTCATATTCAATTGATCCATGTACACCCCCGGCTTTTCTGATGACTGTGTTATGCCTGTTAACACTTAAATTCTACTTACATAATCCTGTCTTTCCATTTGTTAGTTTTATTCCTTTATTGACTGAAAAAATATGCAACAATCCTTCGGCTCTCATCCCTATGGCGTTGAGATTTTTGCTGAGTGTCATAAATCCTGAAAACCCTCATCCCGAAAATAGTTTAATCGTGCGTGTCTTTGTACTGTTAAGAGAAAAAGGCGAGTGTGTAAAAGTTGGCGTTCCCGTTATCTCGTTCGGACTATGTTATCGCACGCAATTTCCGTACGACGACCATCGGCGAGGGTAAAAAATATAATCTTACACAATATATTGGCAAGACTGACCGCCGGATTTACTTAAAAGATTTCAGAACATATTTCACATCAGCTGATATAGACCCTGCGACACAAGTCAACTACGCTAACGACCTAACAGAGCTGGAGGTCGTCCACTGCCAAAAGTCACTCTGAGACAGGCCACCTAGCTGGTCTAGTCCATACTATTAAGCAATCGAAACCCAAAACTGCAGGGTTTCTGTGAAGTAATGTGAGTGAGAACACAAGGGCTCATTGTGTGTGTACAGAGGCTATTGATACAAGTTATCCAACTGCCCTGGAACAACCACGTACCTCAGAGCAATGTGTTCTTCGATGTAATGAACTGGTTGTTATAATGTCAACTACCTATAAATATGGAGTGTTTTACGTTTCCGACTGACGAGAATAAACTGAAATGTCAACGCTTTGTAACTTAAGTCTTCTGGCTGTCCTAGTGAACCATAATCCTTAGACGAAAGGCCCGTACACCTTCCGCAGACTCACACTTCTGGAATCTTGCGAAAGCAGTAGGTCGGAGGTTCTGTTCCTCCCCCACTCCTGCTACTCCTGACCCCAGTTTTGAACTCGTCCCCCAAAATGGGCCAAAGTATTCAATAATCTTCTCTCCCCACCTTCTGTCCCAGTTCATGCTGAAGCTCAAAACTATTTTTCACTACCCTCTATTACAACCAGAGTAGTTCAACGCGCTAAACACTCCTGAGCTTTCCGGTCATGCCGTACGTGACCCAGAGTTGGCTACAAATCACTCCTTACTCCTATCGTCATTCATTTCCTTCCAGGACAGTTCCATCTACTTGCCTGAAAAAGTTCTCACATGTTCCTTACTACCAGGTGTGACCGGGACAAGTACGGCCCCACTTCTACTAACCTTATCTTATCTAAAGTCATGGAGTCAGTTCCGGCCAAGCAACTCTTATATGACCTGGAAAACAAAATTAGGAGTTGACGCGCCACCGTATCACTCAAGTACGTGTCATATGTATGGTCTTATGTTCTACACACGTTGGGTGAAACCGAATCGATATGCCTCGATGACTCGCAAACCTTCAACCGAGCATGGCATGGCAAATTGATTGTCAAACTACCAGCGTGCAGACTACGTTCTGACTTGGTGAATCGAACCGCAAACTTCCTCACATTATTTCGACTGAGATATGCCTTGACAGTGCGCTTGCTATTGTCGGAAGGTCACTACATGAGTTTCACAAGATTCTATTGCTTATCCAAAGTGTTCGCCCTCTTTGCTAATGACTTGCTTTCCTTTGCTTCTGGTTGCATTCAGATCCTTGCAGACCATACAGACCTCCAAATTTCTAAGAATTACGCTCCTCAAAGATATACTTCATCCGGGATCAGACCATCAAAACTCTAAACAATGACCATAAATACATCCACGTTTGGGACTCGTTTAGCGCGGTTAAATTCAAACACCTTTCTACTCCCGTGCGCCAACTTCGATCCCTTGAGATTTGAACTTAATGCCTCAATCAACCAAATCCTTTTTTCTCGACCTGTCCTTTCGGAAATAACCTCCTCTGGTCTTTGTGGATGAAAGTAATTGCAACACGAGCCCCTAGAATGCTCGCTCTTCCAAGTAATTCTCCCTTTCCCAACATATATTGCGCAAATCCAGATTGACCCCATTGCTGAATGTTGCTGCCACTTTTGGGGGATACTTTTCCCGGAGATAGCATTCAACGCCTCACGGACTTATACTTCGATCTATGGTGTGCATCGCGTTTCGTCTTCAGGATGTAACCTTCTCTCATCACTTGATCACGAGCAAAGTCGACTCTCTCGCTCCACTCCTCCAATCGCCTCATCTATCTAGGGTGTCCTAGTCACTCTTATCAAGTTTCTGTCACCGGACAAATCTATTTCCTTCCTCAAGGTCCGCCTGGGCTGGTCGCTTCCTAACATCCTGTTTTTTTCCTGGAATTCTTATCTTAAAGTATTCGAGTCTAGGGTTCATATTCATCTATCCCTACCTTGGTGATGCTCAGCAGATGTGCATTATCTGCACACTATCTTTGATGTTCTGTGCATGAAAACGGTCATTCATGTTTTCAAAAAATCTCCAACATCCCCAAGAGTCCCTAATTCCATTGTGACACTGTGATGAGTGGTACAGAAACACGGATAAAAATCCGGATAAACACATCTGTTGATTTGGGAGATGGAAACTGGTTGGCTTCCGAGAACACTGACAAATATTTATGAGAAGGAAAAATATTCTTGCGAATGGCCTACGCTGATACAGTCGGAGCAAGTATGCTTGCCACACGTCAGGCTTGTGCTGATGTACCATATATTAGCATATATAACTAGCCTTTGCAAAACAAAGCCCAGTAATTCGGAAATTGATACTGATGCGCAATAAGGCAACCCTTCCCACGATTGCGAAGATGTCACAGGACGCAAGTTTGTGACCAGTAACTCAAGTCTACGAATTATGTTTGTTTCTGAAACAGGACTTCAATGATTTAGATGTGGCGCTGAAAAATAGACGAGAATCAGCGGCACAACGCACTCCACGGCCGATTAGTCCAGGTGATACGGATTGGTTATACTGCCAGCGGGAAAATCTACACGATCAAATAGCTTCCCTCAGTACCTTTTCATGATGTTGATAGCACGATTAGGTGCGCTCCGGTTCGTCAACATTTTCGGATCAATCGAAACTATTGTCTTTCATAAGCTCGTTGTTGACCATCTTCGATTAGAGTGCGTTAGCAGATTTCTCAGACTTGTCGACGAATGAGTAACATTACCAACCACCAGGGGGAAAAGCTTACTTTTCTCATCAGATGTGCGTAGCCGAAGACTATCACGGGCCTCATCTGGCAGGACGCTTGATATCAGGGTACCAACAGTGAGAAGAAGTCGAACAATCACCGGGGCTAGGCTTGGAAACGCACCACCGAGCCGAAGAAATGCGGGGAGACAAGCTTGTAGGAGATCGGGTCGGTCGTCGGCACATACGACACCTTAAGGTTAAAAATTGTGATTTATTATTAAAATGTGATTTATTATGTGAAGAAAATGGTTGGCAATAACATACATACCAAAAGACAGTGTGACCAGATATTTCAACGGTTGGCGAAGTATAAATGACAAGCACCGTGTGGCCGACTACAATCGGAATTCGGATCACAACGAAGTAGGCTACTTTCTAGCATAAATAGGGCAAAATGTTTAGAAAACAGTTCATCACGCTTATCGCCTATAACGTACTCCTGCGGACAGCCTGTAGCAAGGACTCCAGCGAACATCCTATAGAGTTTCTCATCTCTCGACAGGTCACCCCACAAATAACTAAAATTCACAGTCTGTTCCCTTATGAATGAGCTTACCCGTCAAGGGTTGTGAACTTACCGATCTTCTGCACTACTATGCCATTCAAGAAGGTCTACTCAGTGCAGCCACAGAAGAGACTGCAGACATAAATGGGCCAACGTTTGAGAACCGGAGAGGTTTAACAAGAAAATAAACACTAAACTGAATAAAATGATGCTGTATGATTCTGAGGTGGCCTTACTATCGTCTAGGCTACAGGAGAAAATGAGAGACAGCTGCCTGACCACTTGGAACCGGGCATAGATTTGGTGCAGAGATTTCTCCATTCTGATACCCTATAAAAAGAACTGCTTATCGCCAGAAACTTAAAATTTCTCTTCAGGAGGTTAATCTATGTAAGAAACAATCCAGCGACTGAGAGAAAATACCTAACTCAAAACCATAATGAGAATGATGCTCATAGAAGACTGTGGTGCTCAGTACTGCACTGTACTGGACACCATCAAGTAGGTGTTGTGTACTCAGACCACGAATGAAGTTCTTTAACAAAAGATGCCTCCCGTGGAACCCTAGTATTTTACTTACTGAATTCAATCAACGACAACCAAGTTACCGTTGGTTAGCAAACAAGCGAGCGATGGCTAGAAGTACGCTGAAATACAAGTGATATCATCACACGGCGAAAGTCTTTTTAGGAACCTGTTAATCCAAAGATTACTTGCGTTTTTGCTAATAAGCAACTTAGAGATTGTCGTAAGAATTCGTAACGCTCTGGAAAAGTAAGATGGTGGATAAATAATAACAAAATAACGGTAAAAGAAGGTTGGACGAATGATATCAAGACATGACAAAGCATTGACACCAGTGCTACTTCCCAAAAAATTACATGGCTTGGCTGGGTCTAATCAACTTGCAGAGACGAAGTCGAGATACCACCATGGAATTCTTGGAAGAAACACTGATGTCCCTTGGTGACACAAGCCTACATCGGTTCTTTCGTTTGGGCGCTACATAGATACTGAAATGGTCCCATAGACAACTTTAATGACTGTCGACATTGGCTTGTTAGAATGATTAAGATAGAAAATCTATAGTTATTGGGAATTCGCTGACTTCGGTGTATCAACTGAAACACAAGAAAATAAATCAGGTGAAAAGAATGCTGCCAACATGGACGACAAAGGACACGTGTTCACGCGTGGGCGCGAAAGCAGAAGTGTAACTCAACTGTGACGAAAATTGCATTGATGTGTCCGGCTCCTCCATCATCAGACTACGGTTAGCTTTTCGACAACCAACTTTTTGGTGTGTTCCAAACAGCTGATTCAACAGAACTAGCATGAATTCCATTTTGCCATACAGACTAGTCGTGTGCCAAACGTTGATGCTCCCTTGACAGTCGCTAAGACAACCGGAATCCTCTGGCTTCTGAACAGCTTTTCAGATGCCTGCAACTGTTCTCAAAAACGTGACGGAAACGGGAAAGGCAGTCTAGAAGTATTTTTGCTTGAAAACGCAACTCAAACCTGTCTCTGATCCATTTAATAAAATCAACACAATGGAGCCAAACGCTCAGAGTACTCCTACTTGCCAAGAACCGCAATTCTCGAGTCGGATTTCGCTGCGAGGGTCTTGTCGAGTCAAACACATAACACCAAGAACATGGTTACATGGGAAACGAGAGGACTTTTGTAAATCTTCCTTGGAAGCTGATTAATTCGATTCCAAAAAAGAATTTCGCGAATAAGGTGTAGGTTGCTGATACAATGGGGTAGGAACTGGCTATTATTCCTAAAAATCCTGAGATCTTGCAATTCAGATATGAAGTTAGCGGCCAACATTTTCCACCTTCATTTCCAAATATGTCTCATCTCTTACCCTTATTAGTGACCTCTCCATTCATGAGATCTTGTCGGTGGTACTTCTCACACAGTGCATATTGACACTGCTGTGAAAAATTTGTGTTGTGAGGAATTACCTAACTTACACAGTTGTTCCGGGATAACACGCCCGAGAACTTGTTCGTCTGAAGGTTAGCTAAACATGAATGACAGGAATGTCTCACACTTCACTACACCCGATCTTTCGCTGTGATGTGACCTCCTCAATCACCCCACGTTTACTTGGAGATATTTTAATTCGAGCTGATAGATTTTCGTCACCAAGTAAAGCATCTTCGGTGATATGGGTAGAATGCATTTGAGCTCACTTATCAGGACCAAGTGAACTGTCTGTTGCGCCTTATCAAAATCGAAGTTGGATGTTTAAACGCGCTCTATACTGAGACTGTTTTTGGAAATCGTAGTCGCGGTGAGCTGTACAATGGCAGGTACAGGTCAGATGTGGATGTTGGGAAACTAGACACGGTTTTTCTCTCCCACGTCAGTGTGATTTAGTTAGCCGCTCAATCAACTTTTATTAGCCTCGCATTATTTATAGTCAGGTATCCAAGCCACAGACACACCGACCCGATGCACCGTGTTAGATGTCAGAATGTGCCGTCACCCTCTGCTTTCCTTCGTCTGACTTGTGTAAGTTGCGCGTGTCTTCAAGGTGACTGCGGCATGACGCCCCTCTCAGTGAAAATCATCAATAGGTTTCTCTCGACTGCATGCGCTGCCAGTTTGCCTAACTCTTTTTTAAAAAAGTTCTGTTGGAATGAATGTCGGAAAATTAGGAAAAAGTTAGACGGCTCCTGTATAGCTGCTCATCTCATTAATCGTACTCCCATCACATCCGAACTTCAAGTGATTCACATATTGTAACATCGTATTCAGTGCTTGTTATCTGTCTTGCTGCCTAGTGATTCACATATTGTAACATCGTATTCAGTGCTTGTTATCTGTTGTGCCTTGCTGCCTGTTAAGTATGTCGGGTCTGGTAAAGTTGTGACCTGTGAAATTGCAGTCCCATAGGTGCATAAAGTTCTTCCTGAGTTGAATTGATTAGTGTGTATGATGAATGCTTTTTAGAACAGTACGCCATTCTGCATTAAGAATGGAGGAATTCAGGATTTTGATCGGTTCCAATGATGTGAACGGCCTACGGTTAGATTATCGCATCGATTTTAGCGACTAAAACACATGGCGTGCAAATAAAGGGGGACGGTAGTTATGGAAACGTTCCGAATGATCAGTTGTTGGTATAATCCGGTGTTTACACGCATATAAAGTCCATATCTGCGACAGAATGCGAGCGGCTTATACTAACGGTAGAACATCGCGTGAGGATATAAAATTGGTCGCCAAAAGGCATCAAATTAGCCAACCCACGCGCAAGACAGCTGGGTATTCTGGGACGAGAGGGGAGACATATGAACTAATACTGAGGACCACCGCACAGCAACGTCAGATCTCATTAATTATGCAAAATAAAAATACCTTTATCGCCAAATTATGGAGTGGTAAGCACGTATGCCAAGCAGGAAATGAAGATGCGAATTGAAAAAAAGTGCTCAGTACGCAACATCATGCCAGCCGAACCAGTACAGTTGAAATGACAGGTAAAGACAATATAACGGACAAACTGCTGAAGTTTGAAATGTCTTGGAACACGTATAAATAAGCACGAAGATGGGCGATAAACATACTTGATAGAAGATGGAATAGGGAGTCGATCATGAACGCTGCCCGCTCGAAAGCCGACTGAATATTGTAGTGCAACGATAGATGCGAAACAAGATCCAAGCAGAAAACCTGGCGAAAAGATGAGCGAAAAATTGACATCATCTACCAAGCAGTATTGCGTAAAAGGGAACATCAAGCCGCCGTTATCTCATTTGTCAACATCAACTGTTTTCACACGCAGTGCAGTGATTAAAAATGTACCAAATGGTACACCACAGTATGATCAATCGACTTTCGAGCTGTGTTTGTTTGCTTGATCACGAGTCACTGTGGACATTCCTTGTAACTAACAGCGCTCAAGCAAAGCTGATAAAACTCAGTAAGACCTATTGCGTATTAGTGAAAGATCAGATCCGGTTATACGGCGAGGAGCCTCGAATACAACAAGGCCGCCCAAATTTGTCGATACTTTTTAAATTCGCAACCGATTAGTCAGTAAAACAGGCATTGAGAAACACTCTAGCCTAAAGGTAGGTAGGTAGGATAGCTGGCTTGGGATATGCTGATAGTATCGTTCTGTTGGTTGATAACTTGGAAAAATCCCAATGGCAGGATGCATGCTGTTGTCCCCAATCCCATATTTTGCCTGTTGACTAGTGCTCCAAATTAGTTACTCGGTGAACGCAGCGTTTGTGGTGCACAGCACTTACCGAAACGGAACAAATTTGAGACGGTGTTGTTCAGTCAGCACCTGCATCCGAATGGCGTAAAATCGAAGTTCTTTATGATTCAATCGAGTTTCTCACAAGAACACAAGGTGGTTTAAACAGCCTAGTTCAGTTGTGAGTGGAACCGATTATCGATCAGCCTTTTGGTGGTGTGACCCGATAGAACCAGATCGGATGTTCTATCCATACAATGTTTGTCGCTTACTGAAGCCGATTGCAGAATTGGAATTGTGATTCTATCTGATCATTCGTACAGTAACGTTCAATCAAACAATATTGGCCAATAGAGGAGAATGTTGGTGACTCAGGTAGCATAGATGGTCGTCGGTTCGCTGAGACAATCAATTTGATTGCAAACGTTTCGTCACCAATCGAGGTGACATCATCAGTGCGTTGTTATGGAGCGTAGTGCTGTGTAGCGATGGGTTGGTGGTTGTGCCAACGGCCATCTAAGCTACCTGAGCAACCGACATTTTCTTCATTCGCAGTGTAAGCCGAAAATGACCTAGTAAAACAGGTAAACCTAGTAAGCAACACGAGTTCAACACTGATGTTGAAATTGTCATAAAGAGAATTAGATGATATCGGTCAGGGAAGACATCACGGTCATCGTCCGATCGAAATGGCGGGCAACATGGAAACGAGAAAATCGGTAGACACACAAAATAGTCTGGTTTGGCAGCTGGCCTGCCAGGTCATTGAAATGCTATTGAAACGTCAACGTGGGTGGTTGGAGTATGTATGGATACCCCGGTAAGCTTTAACTGACAGTAAAAGTTCAGAATGGTGCTTGCATGCCACTCAACGAGCTCAAAATAAAGTTCCGTTGCAATGTAGTTAATAAAACTGGAAACAACCGAACAACGTTTCGTTTTCCTCTAGCTTGTTGAAGTGACAACATTGCATTCCCAAATACTGCAACAGTCGTTCGGATAACCAGTAAAAGGATGCCCGACCAAGTTCCCTGTTCTTGATATATATATATATATATATATATATATAATGCATGTGCGAAGCTTACCCAAGGAATTACAACATAATATATGCTTGATTCAAAAGGTTCAGTGCCCAAAACACATACAACATCACTTGTGGGAAATCAAAGAAACTGAAGAAGAGGGAGTTTGCGATTGTGAGAAAGAACACTAAGCGTATCACTGAGTGCGATTTTGAGTGAGTTCAGCCAGACCAACCAGAAGCACTTCACAGTCATCTGGACCCAAGCTGGAAGGAAGCCAAACCGGCTCGGCGATGGATGGCCTGACTGTTATCTTATCACCTTACGCAAACAGTTGATAGTCGGCCTCCAGTAGGTTATTCCGACTGAAGGTTATTCCCGGGTAAGGTGAACGGAGCACATCTGGGCGGTCGACGAGGTGGCAGGTCGGAGATACGGCCAACCCAGTGAAGCTGACTGCAAGAAATCGAATGATACAGTCCTGAATCTTTGGTGTTAGGTCAGAGGCTAGGTCATACTTCATTATTGCGTGGCTGCCACTAAACATGCGAAAGGTATCGCGGGCAATAGTGGTTAAACGCCGGCAACTGTTGCATATTATCCATATTGGATTACCGGATTTCGAATCGGTTTAAAAAATACGTACTTCGCGTCATCTTCAAGAGTTGGGGTTTAGAGGATGTCATGCTCGCTTTATCAATCCCAGAGTAAGTCACTCAGTTCGACATCCATGTACTTCGGTGTGGTGGTTTGGATCGATGCAGTGGAATAATTGATAATAACAAGAGGATAGATGCGATACCACCACTGGTTGCGTGACATCGCGGTGTCAGTGAGTACTTCCAGTCATTGATGTGGTGCATCTCCGATACACAAACATTGCATCTGTAATGCTTAGAAGGCGTCGGTGGTTAAAGGCAAGCAATGTTTGCCATTACCGCACAGCGGTCAGGCTTCCTATCCTTAGTCGCTGGGGTCCAATTCACAACAAGAGTACAAACCGTATACGTGTTCCAAAATGACGGGTAGCCTTGAACACAGCCCCCATATCTAAAGCTAACTGCCATGTGGTCAATCCGAGTGATCGACCGTTTAATGTTGAAAGGACACCAGATAACGCGATTCTCACGAGGCTTGTAGTAATGAAGTAGTCATTAGCGCGAAAGCAGCTACTGTTTCTGGAAGCATCTTCACAAACCACATCTTCCACCGGGACGCTCTTCATGCGTATCTTTTCTTTCCAGTTGGGTGTTCAGATCACCAATCAGAATAGTGACATCCGTGCACTATACCATTCACATGAGTCTCGAAAGTCCTCCATGAAGAGAATCTTTTACAGTTCCACTGCTGCAGTTTGTTGGGATGTATGCACAGATAAAGAACAGGTTTCGTGGCCGGATTCTGACAGATCCAGCCAGTCTGGTTGCACGTACACGACTGTTCGTGGTGTGAAGCATAGAGCGGTACAACGGAACTTAAGAATAAATCCGGGATCAACGGTTACCAAAAAAAGGGGGGTAACTTTGGAGACGCGGAATGAGAATGTACGAGGCCAGCCGGCCCGCTGGCCCTAACAACTGAACATCACATCATGCGAACGTCACGTGCAGGATACGGACCAAACAAGGGCATGCCCCGATTGGTCAGAATGCATCTTTGACTCGACACTCCTCACCCCCTCACGGAGATTCTAGCACAACTTTGTGGAACATTCTGTCGCTGCCCTATAAATACGGTTGTGATAATTTTCCTGTCTCCATAAAGGGCTGTGTAGGGCTACCGTACCTTTTAATATACCATAATGAGTGGGGCAGGGAGCTAGGGGACCAATACAGAGTTGCACTACCGTTCAGCAACACACAACAGAGAGCAAACCGTCAGATAGCACATAGTCATCTGAGAAGAACCAACAATGAGGGTATACAAAAGCTGGCTTAAACAGAGGTTTCCAGTGAAAAACGAGGAAGATCGACTTGTGGGAACTGAAGATCCATCCGACTTCCCGCTTGAGCTATCGGTTCATCAAAGAAGCGAGCGCAGCGGAAGGGTGTGTGCCCGGATGCACTGTCGTAGTAGTGTACGCGTGGATCGGAGACAGTGCTGCTCTTACGCTGTGCGAGCACATGTTATTTCCAGGTTAGCCAGGCAAAAAAAGAGGGAATGTTAAAGGTACCTCACCTCGACTGAGAAGTCTGAGGCATAAAGCGGTGAGGAAAGGCGAGGTTTTGTCTCACCAACCTACCCATGGTCTCTGACTCAACAGTCTAACAGGCGAGGCGACAGGTGCTTGGGTTTTGTGGAGGACCCAATCCGGAAACAGTGACCAAATTGTCTGATCCACCTAGCTGTGAGCAGCACCGAACTTGGTGTTGAAAGTAATTCGAATGTAATGAACAGTACACCAGGAGTAACGGTCAACCGTAGGGAGGTCAGTATGGACGGATTTAGGGCCGACCTTTTCTAACCCGTCCATCTTTGAGGGGAGGCAGCAGTAGTGTTTTGTGAATGATGGCGCGCTGGTCGCCTGGAGGAAATGCTTTACTACTTCTACAATCCTACCGCAGAGGGCAGTACGACTTTACTCCCACAGCGTCCCATAGTTCCATTACTCATGAAGCTCTATATCTGACTGCTTTCCGTCGATCTTCCTGGCATGAGTGAACCTCGAAGGACGTTCAAATCAGCTTAGCTCAAGTGGTCGTTGCAAAACTCAAACGCGACCACCACATAGAGGTGTTAGCTATTGGTTCCGGAGGATATTTGGAAACTAAGTCCACGCGGCTATTGCAACAGTTCTCCAAATAGAGGCCGCTTCTCTGAGGGATGCATCAGAACGTTCTCATCCGACCGCGACCCCGTCACAAGAAATAGCCCAGTTCTCCACTGATGGTGTCTCTTCAAGTGTCGAGGAACTCGAGAAGGTTCATAAAATCCAGATACTCACCAGAAAGGACTAGCATGACTGACAACCTGATCACGTTCAGGTGGTTAGAGGCGAAAACAAAAGAGGTAGGCTTCCATCGATGCGTTGTCCTGAATGGGCTGTATTACATTGAGATCCTATCCCTACGCGATTGGGCACTCAGCGATTCCACGAAACCAGTCTTACATTACCAGTGGTTACCGTAGCCGGATTGTGCAGACGTTAACCAAGAATAAACTAAATAATTGCACAGAATGACTAAATTGGGATGCAGATTCGGACACAGGTTGATATTCTGGCGAATTTCATGGTGAAATGCGATTCCATGGAGCATCTCTTTCACCAAATCAACAGCACCCCCATGCGTGGAACATCTGTGACCGTCTGCCATCGATGTGTTGCACAATGTTAGAGGGCTGTTTTGACGGGGTTGAAAACCGCCAAGGGTTCTATGGGCGTTTGAGCCTCCACAGCTGTCAGCAGGCCCGGAATCGTTCCACTACGTTGCGAATTACGCATTGCAGGTTATTTTTCAGCTTCAAGTTCAATTGACTCTATAATGGTGTTAATTAAGTCATCTGAATAGGATCTTCTCTATCAGCTTCATGCAGGATATCACCATACACGGATCACCAAACTAATGGAGTGATGATATCAATCGTAACGAGGAACTCATCAGAATGTTTGACACAAACCTAGGGGGGAAAATTCCTGAAATTATTCGAGCTGACACCGAACAGGAAGTTAAACAAGGTGAACGAACCGTGTGAAGGGCTGTAGGCTCGTCTGGTAACGAACGGCCATCCGACACGGATGACTGGTTTGTACACACCCATGACATCAAGAATGGCGGGGTAAAATAATCGGTGCATCTGACATCCACAAACGTGATACCTATCCAGTCCGCGGAACAGACGAGAACGACAGAAAACTAATCAACCCAGTGATGCTTTCCACGCATGACTGATTGAAACTGGCGGAAAATGCATTTACAATGATTAGGTGTTTGAGATGAGTAATCAGGGAGAATGGACTGCTGAGTTTGAATTTTTCCATTCTGTGTGCACTGAAGAAGTCTCACCCAGTCCAGAGAGGTAGGAGGCTTAAAAAGGCCACCAAAATGATAGGCTAAACTAGGTGTACTGTAGAACAACAGCAAATTAATTTGTTTCGAATCTTAAACGAAATCAGACGGGACACGTGTCTCAGGAATAAAGCATCAAAAACACAAGATTCACTGCCTAGAAAAATAATCACCAGTCAGACGAGACACCGAAGGGATAGTCAGTAGGATCAAACGTCTTGATTGGGTCCCACCTGGCCAGCTTAGCGTCGTCATACCCGTATCGGTTCAGCTATCGATATCCAGCAGGCTGGTACCTTACGCCTTTTATCATTCAACCCCTCCATGTGCGGGATAACTTTTGGGTGAACCTTTCAGGCAGTCACTCCAGAAGAGAACACCTAGACGAAATATCACGGTTGACTCCGTTAAGTAAAACATCTCACAGTATATGTAGATTTTCCGAACGAAGGGAGTGTTCCGTTGACGTGCGAAATGCAATCCAAGGCGGCCTCTAATAAGACTGTAAAACAAGTTTACTTTAAACTAATGAGGTCCAAAAGTTAAAGACATTGTTCTGCATACTCTCGTTGAAGATCCAGGTGAAAGGGAGAAGGCCTTCGCTGCGGAGTTGTTTATTGGAAAACACCAACTGAACAGTTGCATACTAGTGGACAGGGAAGGAAAACTCTCATGTGCATCTTGTTTATAAAAACTGAATATCCGTCTTCTTCTTGAACGCATCTTCCTGAAGTGGACTGGATCTTCACTGACTATCAGTCAAATGTAAACGAATGCTACATAGCAATTCCACAAAGTTTGTAATAAATCCCACTTTCCAATAGACGCAAAACGGAGTTACGAGAAAAGATATTACTCGCATGCCCCGTTAGTAGCATCCATCGTTACACTGGTAGACAACTGCGTATTCCGAAATAAATTGGCACACACAGATTTGTCTTGGTAGATGTGTGACGAAGGTTCGACTAAGCCTACATTTTTAAATGAGGACAAGTTAATGAACCGTATAAGGAATACCACTCATTCTTGTTGACTGTCAGTGGGTGTGGAATGAGGTTAGATAGTGGTGACCGATCTGTGTTACACGGTGGAACGAGTTGCCAGGTTGTCCGTCTAGCAGTCCTAACGATAGAGAGCAGTGGGTTCTCACACGCAACTGTGCTTCAATGTACGGTCGGGCGCGAACATGGTTCGGTGCCAAATAACGAAGGGTATATCAAGCCAAACGAAGAGCCTAACTCAACTTACCATTTTTGCATAGTCACCACTGAGTCGATAGACGTGAATCACGCTGTCCAGGCAAATGTGGAGTGAGGGAATCGCTTGAGTGCTGATCGGTAACAAGCTGTGAGGGAAGGTCTGGGGATAATAGATCGAAAAATACCAGAGGTGTCAATCAACTAAGTATAACCTTGTTAGGGCAAGATCTACTGTTTTCAAGAGCTCTGGCAGTATTCAAAACAAACTGCCACCAAACACTCCATTCCTTCAAGAGAACCAGGGTACTAAGTAAATTACGTACCATAAACTAGAGAGATCCAAATGAGTCTCCTGTTAACGCCAAACTGGTTCGTTCAATACGTGCAGATCGGAGTGCAATTAGAACATAGGGCGACTCGGGAACGGCACCCACCTGATCACAGAAAATTCAGGTTTGTCTATTGCCGGGCAATGACGGAGATGTTGATGGAACCGCGAGAAAGTTAATAACCAACCGATTGCCAGCTTATTATAGTTTCGCGCTGTTCAGATTCTTACCATAACAGGCAGTTTGAATACAAACTCCGTCTCTCTTGCATCCATCTAAAAACAGTTTTGTTCGGCGGCAAATACGTCAGAAATCTCCCAGTCCCAAGCCTATCGGCGATCCATGCAAGTGCAAGTCAGTACAAATCTACGTACCTCCAAACTTAATGTACGATAAAATTATGATGTAGTCGTGCGAAAGAGGGTATACACCGGCTTTTCTCGAAAGTAACAAAGACAACAAAAAATTGGCCTCCAGAAATGTGCACGTTTGTCTCACGATCTACCAAGAGCTTTGATTAGAAGGTCGAGATTGGCACTGTTTACGCGTTTGTGACAAAAGTGACACAAAATAACCAAACAAGCAGACATGTTGGTCTATGTTCGAGGGTAGATTTTCAATAGTCTTGCTCTTGAGGTGAGTGCAGTTACGTGCACGCCCTTAGCAGTGAGTAACTCAGTTAACCTTAATACGATAAGGAAAAAGTTAAAAAGAGGACCGAGGACAGGAAAAACGGCATCAGCACTCGAATTGTCAACTGCAACGCGTCCAACAACGTAGAAAAAAGGTAGAATGACCTGTTGAAACAAACTAGCTGCGTGAATTATAGGCCAGAACACACTTTACGGCGTAGCTTTCTATATCGTGACTTTATAGGGAAAGGTTTTACTTCACTTCATACAGTCAGATAAAACAAAGGTGTTATGTGAGCTGAACCTGTGCTGTGAGTGTGGTTCGTATTCTGATCTAATGTGTCCATCGTTGTGGACAGAAACGCTTCGGGTTCACCGATGCTTTCAACCCGACCTTTTGTTGACTGAGGCCTACTATTTTCATGGTATGAAAAGTCCCCAGAAAACTGTGAACAAAAACTCGAGATCAGGTTTGAAATGTGAAGAAAAAGTCCGACTTCCTGCGTAGTTGCAGGCAATATAATCACAAAAAATAATACGAACAAGACATGAAGCAACAAATTAGACAGCATAATGTCAGTTCGACGGGCAGCAACAGGAACACCAAATTTGTATGATAAGCTATGAAAGACGAGAATCCCACGTTTCTCGTGCCCCACTCGCAGAATATTGGCATTCATAATATGATTAGACAGCAAAAAAAAACAACCATGCAAAAAAGAGCACTATCTGTCACTCTAAAGATCCGCTACCTCGCCAAAAAAAAACATAGTATGGAACGCGACGATGAGGATAGGGGGTAGACAAATGTGCTGCTCCAAATTAGTTCCAAGCAGAGTGCAGACTGCAACATATGGTTCCGTACAAAAATTTCACATCCATAAAATAAGAGTAATTGGGGACATCATCATCATCGTCACCACCACCACAATCAACACAGTGATTTGTGGCGCTGTGCGCAGATGCGTTTGGCAGTAAAAGACGAGGGACTATAAGGCTTGAACACAGACAGTAGATTGTTGGTTAGGTTGGGTGAAGATTGGACGTCGATTAGTACCCAGACCGATCACACTGTAAGTTATTTGCAATTCAGGTGGCATTTAGGTGTGATTAGGGGGTAGGCTGAACTTTTAGTTAATGGTGGTCGGCAACAAATTGTCGCGATAATTCTGCAGCAGACGGCGTAAGGCTTTTCGCATCTGTCCGAAATAGTTAGTTACTTTACTACTGTCTGCATAGCATTCGGAAATACAGCACACAGTCGTAACACATATGTAGTAATATGCAAAGTGCTTAAGTTGCACTCCTACGTGGTAACCTCTTCATGCACCGACCACCATCAATGTTAGTCATTGTAAACTTTCTTCTGACGTTGACAGCGTATCAAATATACTATAAGGATCAACCAAAATAAAGTTTGGTACATGTCCGAACATTGACTGCCGCTTGGTTGGAGGTTACAATAGCAAGCAGGTTACACGATAATCCATCAAAGGGACGGACTCCACCGTCGTAGCCATAGTGATGCTTTTCTTGGAGGGGGGTTGCCGAACAGCAGCAATGTTTAGGTCGCCCTAGTGATACGTCCACTATTATCATCCAGAACTGGAACACGGTGTCCTAACAAGCCGTTCTCCAAACAGGGGCAATTGGTTCCAGTCCCCTGAATTCTAGCATTGCAGTGATGCGCAAAAAACGATGGTACTTTTCGTCAAAGGTGAACGCTGCCTGTTGCTACACTCGATGCTTGTCTAGCCATGGTGAGGTAGGATGCTCGCTGGTCAAATTTTGCCGCAACATGGCTTGATAGAACAGATTCAGGAGGTTAAGATGATTACCCGAACGGTTTACATTGAAGTGGGACGTAACAGGAGGGGTTCTATATCATGGTTGTGGTATTCAATTCTAGGAAGGAGTAAAATCGGTAGTAAACACAGCTTGCCTATCGGAACTGGTCAACATAAACACTTCTGTGGAGTATTTTCCACCATGAGTGCTTTATACTTTATTCAAAACTGAAAACTTCCAGAAACAACCCAGAAGACTTAAGGAACAACACAAGAAAATCTGCTTCCGAAGGGGCACAGTCCACACGAGAGATCAGTTTGACTAGATCCAAAAAGCAGAATGGGGAATAAATAAGCCCTCGTAAGCACACGCATAAAGGTGTCAAGTTGGCTCAGTTCAGCGGACAAACCGACGGCCATGATGTCCAGTGTACAGGTAGCTCAACTTTCTGTGGGATCAGTGGTCAAATATGAGGCAAAGTGTGGTCTGTTGATAGCCACAGCACGAGTCCTTGGAGCGTAGGAACTCCCATTATGACGCTCTAGAGAGAGTGGTTGATATGAGGGAGGGGCTGCTAATCCTATTCCAGCGTATACGTCACTTTTGCGCAATTGTACCACGGAAAATACTTTGCTGCCGTACAATTAATTGGCTTCGTCTATATCGCACATATCCCAGGAATTCAGGGCCTAACCGTAATCAGTCTTCGGAACGTTACAAAATGCTAGTAAGTTCTCAATCAATTGGAAAATGTTTAAGACCGGTTGAGTGGCCATCGTTTTGAGTGGGTTTTGTTCTCATTGAATGGCAGATCACTTCAGTCCCTCACCATTTTCCTGTACTACCTTACTGCCAAGGTTCTAGACATCTACTGTGTTTGTAATCAGCTTAGCTGAGGCTAGCGAATATCGGAGCACCTGACCACTTTAGCTTCCGTAAACGACAGTTAAAATTGACTCTGGAAAAAATTCAATCGAGGTTTGTCTTAACACGTTCAGTCTGAGACACTCTATGAGTACAGTGTACTGGTATTGACACTTTTAGCGATTTCTCATGCAATCCCCCATCCTTCTAAAACAAAGTCATTTTTGTATCAGCTTATTAACACTAATGGGGACGGAAAATTTACCATCTTATTCGCAGGAAAGCAGTTTTTAAGTACAAACTGAATGTCTTCTGAACCGGAGAAAATGAAATATAGAAGCGAATTCCATTTGAAAGAGCACAGTCATTAGTTTGGTCATTGTTACCAGTCCAACTTTAGGCTTAGTTATTTGAAAGGCAAAATCAACTTACAACGGACAAAATGGTATGGTCCTATAGTTTATTCCTTAACCTTGAAAAATGAATAAGCATTTTTCGGTCCCTCGTTTATGAAACAATGTGCATATACAAGAACGGAAGCCAATGTGAGGGTAGCTTTGGAGAGGTTCGAACCCGGGTCGTCAAAAAGCAAGTCCAGGAAGATCTGGTAACAAAATGTCCAGATGTAGCACCCTTTCGATGCCTATTTGCCACGCCACTCGAAGGAAGCACGAAGGCTGGGAAAATACGAGGTTGCCCAAGCCAAGACAAGATGCAGAGGTTGGACTCGAACCATGGCGCTTCCGGTAGGTCATTTCACGCTCTTAAGCACCGAGTCACCTCGCCCCCAGATCAAGTAATATGTAATCACGAATGCAACAGATAAGAGAGCTATGAATACGATGTTACAATATGTGAATCACTTGAAGTTCGGATGTGATGGGTGTACGATTAATGAGCAGGACAGCTATACAGGAGCCGTCTAACTTTTTCCTAATTTTCCGACATTCATTCCAACAGGACTTTTTTTAAAAAGAGTTAGGCAAACTGGCAGCGCATGCAGTCGAGAGAAACCTATTGATGATTTTCACTGAGAGGGGCGTCATGCCGCAGTCACCTTGAAGACACGCGCAACTTACACAAGTCAGACGAAGGAAAGCAGAGGGTGACGGCACATTCTGACATCTAACACGGTGCATCGGGTCGGTGTGTCTGTGGCTTGGATACCTGACTATAAATAATGCGAGGCTAATAAAAGTTGATTGAGCGGCTAACTAAATCACACTGACGTGGGAGAGAAAAACCGTGTCTAGTTTCCCAACATCCACATCTGACCTGTACCTGCCATTGTACAGCTCACCGCGACTACGATTTCCAAAAACAGTCTCAGTATAGAGCGCGTTTAAACATCCAACTTCGATTTTGATAAGGCGCAACAGACAGTTCACTTGGTCCTGATAAGTGAGCTCAAATGCATTCTACCCATATCACCGAAGATGCTTTACTTGGTGACGAAAATCTATCAGCTCGAATTAAAATATCTCCAAGTAAACGTGGGGTGATTGAGGAGGTCACATCACAGCGAAAGATCGGGTGTAGTGAAGTGTGAGACATTCCTGTCATTCATGTTTAGCTAACCTTCAGACGAACAAGTTCTCGGGCGTGTTATCCCGGAACAACTGTGTAAGTTAGGTAATTCCTCACAACACAAATTTTTCACAGCAGTGTCAATATGCACTGTGTGAGAAGTACCACCGACAAGATCTCATGAATGGAGAGGTCACTAATAAGGGTAAGAGATGAGACATATTTGGAAATGAAGGTGGAAAATGTTGGCCGCTAACTTCATATCTGAATTGCAAGATCTCAGGATTTTTAGGAATAATAGCCAGTTCCTACCCCATTGTATCAGCAACCTACACCTTATTCGCGAAATTCTTTTTTGGAATCGAATTAATCAGCTTCCAAGGAAGATTTACAAAAGTCCTCTCGTTTCCCATGTAACCATGTTCTTGGTGTTATGTGTTTGACTCGACAAGACCCTCGCAGCGAAATCCGACTCGAGAATTGCGGTTCTTGGCAAGTAGGAGTACTCTGAGCGTTTGGCTCCATTGTGTTGATTTTATTAAATGGATCAGAGACAGGTTTGAGTTGCGTTTTCAAGCAAAAATACTTCTAGACTGCCTTTCCCGTTTCCGTCACGTTTTTGAGAACAGTTGCAGGCATCTGAAAAGCTGTTCAGAAGCCAGAGGATTCCGGTTGTCTTAGCGACTGTCAAGGGAGCATCAACGTTTGGCACACGACTAGTCTGTATGGCAAAATGGAATTCATGCTAGTTCTGTTGAATCAGCTGTTTGGAACACACCAAAAAGTTGGTTGTCGAAAAGCTAACCGTAGTCTGATGATGGAGGAGCCGGACACATCAATGCAATTTTCGTCACAGTTGAGTTACACTTCTGCTTAGAAACATTGGTCAATTGAAGAAGATCGTTCGGCTGTAGCACCCCTTTGGTCATGCCACCAGAAGTAAGCACGAGGGATGAAATACTGCGAGGGTTGCTCAAGCCTAGACAGGGGAAGTCGAGGGGCCGAGGTTGGGTTCGAACCACATACCTTCCGGTCAGTAAATTCGCACTCTAACGACGAAGCCAACTCACCCCCAAACCTGGTAACATGCAATCACGAATGATAAAATTAAGTGTGCTTGTTTAGCTTAGTTTCGAAAGCCACAGAAGGCGAGGATATATTCTAGGAAAGTAGAACAGGAAACCGGTGTAATTTTCTTCGTTGACTACTTCATCCAGTGGAAACAAGTCAGGATACTGGTCTGTCAAACGTTTGTTCATCCTGGCCCTATAACTAAATGGTAACCCAAAGTGAGAGTCTACAATGCAAGCGGACACATGAAACTCAAACAGATGTCAAAAGTGATGTAGTCGTGCGATACTTTGTTGAGGCAAGAAACCTTCAAAGCTGATATTCAAATAGAGCTTTATTATGAACAAGAAAACTTACCCAAAAACCAATTCCACATCGATATGATTAACTGAGAAGGGCGAATACCTTGCTTTCATCGGCACTAGCTAGTAACCCATGGACTATCAAAGCGAAAGAAACGATTTTTTTGTCTTACTCTTATGCAAGCAACCGTACCTTCCCGATTCATAGAAGCGCTCCAAACGCTTGTTTCATCGAAGATCTTTACCGTACGGAAATTCCCTGGGAGGGTAGTCCGAAAATCACTCGGGCATAATGCATACACGTTGGTTGTGGGTGGCTGCGGGATTTGTAGAATGCACGTTCACGTCACTCTTATTTGAACAGTCGTCCTGGCGCAATCTGGTGAGGCCATATCAAAGGAGGGAAGCCCTTATTAGAGCATGTCAGCAGAGCAGAGGTCTGAATTCCGCACATGCGAAGCCAGTATGTTACTGCTCAACCATCGCACGCTGGGCGCATCTTAATTTTCAGTTCTGAACAGGTGCATATGTTTGCACTTGAGTGATAAACGAGGTGGCTCAAATGGGTAGAGCGCGAATTTACTGACCGGAAGATCCGTGGTTCGACCCTGATCTCTACCTCTCGACTTCCCCTGACTAGGCTTGGGCAACCTGGCAGTATCCCAGCCCTCGTGCTTCCCTCGGGTGGCATGACAGCTAGGTACCGAAAGGGTGTTACAGCTGAACAGTTCTTTAGTGATAAGCCCGGCGCCTTGAACGACGACCCAGTAACACATCTTGGTTGCGTCGATCGGTTGGCCCACATATCAGGATTTCGCAGTCAGATAGCGCCACAGACGCTTGAAACCTACTGGATGCGTTTTTGTTTAGTTGAGGGTGGTTGTGGGATTTACAGAATACACATATTAGCTGAAAAGCAGCATCGACGTAAGCAGTGATGGACGAACAGTTCTCATACACGGGAGGCACAGTGTACTGGGTGTACAAGATCTTCACTCGTGAAAGGACCGTAAAATCAAACGTCAGTGGCATTCTGCTGGACGGTCCCATGTCTATCTACGTTGCAAAGTAGAATAGGCAAGTTTGAAAGGGAAATATGATAAGCTCCGAATTTCTCTGGAGCGGCGAATTCGATCATCGTTTCCGATGGAGCCATTTGCATGAACACTCGTCACTGATTGCTTTGTGCGACGGACGGAGCGAGTAAACAATCCGACAGTCTGACCACACCCCTGACAATGTTATTGCGGTGAAGATCGGCAACCATGTCGGGTTTGTACTGAAAGCTAATGTCAACCACTATGAAGACAGACCAATTTGTTCGTGGTGGAGTCATATGGAGTTGTCCCAGAAATAGACGAAAACAATGAGATAGCTGGAAACCGCAAGAGATACAGTTGGTGGGTAAATAGGCTCAGCAATGATATGGAAACTAAACCGGTGGGTCGATTTCGATGGAACGCGGGCAACCGAGGCCGAATATAAGTAAGAGACAAGGCTGTGATCGAACAGGCTGATATCTTGTCTGCAATAGATACTTCTAGGGGAAAACTAAGTGTTAAAAAACTCAAACAGGGCTCTTAGTGTTAAGCAGGTCCAAATGGCCTAATTTCTCGTAAAAATAGGCGACAGAGAAAATGGAAATCTCACATGCCGATTACACCCGAAATATTCATTTTGGGCAGCCCAACTGGCCTTGATACAACAGTAATTAAGAGTGGTTAACCGGTCACGGTTATTTACATACGCATACTGAGTAGCACGATATCGTTCGCGCCTAACCGAATATGGAGACCTATTCTGCCAGTTCAGAAAATGAGTTCATGCAGGTGGAGTTCGATATGCAGTTTTCTGAGTCATGTTTTTGCATGCTCTGGGTTTGGTGATTCTCATTATGATGTCAAGTTCTAAGCATGCACCGCGAGGCGAGACGTAACAAGTTGGGGAATTTGTGCGGAATCAGGCGAATACGTGAGGTGTCAATGAGTCGTAAAGTGGCCTCTGTTGATGTTAAAGGAAGGGTATAGTATCTGCGTTTTCTGCCAAGATTAGCGCAACAAACGGGTTCCAGCTTAATCACCCTCAGGATTACATCGATCCGAACAGGTGGGTCGTCACACACAATGCATGGGCCGCAACGGATTCAGATAAATGAGTTCAGCGAGTCAAATTCGAAAACATAGGAGAAAGCCGAATCGTACATAAACTAATTGTTGGGGAGCGAAAGTTATGTCACATTTGAGTGTCTGAACGGGACTCAACCAAAGAAACGGTTAGGCGCCGAACACGATGAGGACAAAAACACGTGGAGAGTAGCTGGAAGCACATGCTTAATCTAGATTATGGAATATACACGGGTTGATATCGGGCACCAACGAGACCGGTAAAACGACTAAGTGTGGAAATCAGTAAGGTATACGATGGTTCGGCTGCAACCCATTCGCATCCTGCTTCATCAAAGTGAAAAGCTGGAATATCCACTTACTTGCCACACAATGACCTCGGCCAAGGCCGGTTCGGCGATAAACATGGAATGAACGTAGGTACAGATGATGTTTTGAACTTCCCGTAGGACACTGATTTGTGACCTTAGGGTCTGAAAAAGGCAGAAAAGCGGATGGTCACCGAAATGAAGCAAGACCTGTAACAAGACAGACTCACAAAAGCGACGTCAGAAAGAGGCCGACAAATTGTCTACACCAGCTGAGACGACTTCTTAGTACAAAACAGAAAGAAGGGTAAAAAAGGGTAAATTTGCGCCCAACACAAATTTTTCACAGCAGTGTCAATATGCACTGTGTGAGAAGTACCACCGACAAGATCTCATGAATGGAGAGGTCACTAATAAGGGTAAGAGATGAGACATATTTGGAAATGAAGGTGGAAAATGTTGGCCGCTAACTTCATATCTGAATTGCAAGATCTCAGGATTTTTAGGAATAATAGCCAGTTCCTACCCCATTGTATCAGCAACCTACACCTTATTCGCGAAATTCTTTTTTGGAATCGAATTAATCAGCTTCCAAGGAAGATTTACAAAAGTCCTCTCGTTTCCCATGTAACCATGTTCTTGGTGTTATGTGTTTGACTCGACAAGACCCTCGCAGCGAAATCCGACTCGAGAATTGCGGTTCTTGGCAAGTAGGAGTACTCTGAGCGTTTGGCTCCATTGTGTTGATTTTATTAAATGGATCAGAGACAGGTTTGAGTTGCGTTTTCAAGCAAAAATACTTCTAGACTGCCTTTCCCGTTTCCGTCACGTTTTTGAGAACAGTTGCAGGTATCTGAAAAGCTGTTCAGAAGCCAGAGGATTCCGGTTGTCTTAGCGACTGTCAAGGGAGCATCAACGTTTGGCACACGACTAGTCTGTATGGCAAAATGGAATTCATGCTAGTTCTGTTGAATCAGCTGTTTGGAACACACCAAAAAGTTGGTTGTCGAAAAGCTAACCGTAGTCTGATGATGGAGGAGCCGGACACATCAATCCAATTTTCGTCACAGTTGAGTTACACTTCTGCTTAGAAACATTGGTCAATTGAAGAAGATCGTTCGGCTGTAGCACCCCTTTGGTCATGCCACCAGAAGTAAGCACGAGGGATGAAATACTGCGAGGGTTGCTCAAGCCTAGACAGGGGAAGTCGAGGGGCCGAGGTTGGGTTCGAACCACATACCTTCCGGTCAGTAAATTCGCACTCTAACGACGAAGCCAACTCACCCCCAAACCTGGTAACATGCAATCACGAATGATAAAATTAAGTGTGCTTGTTTAGCTTAGTTTCGAAAGCCACAGAAGGCGAGGATATATTCTAGGAAAGTAGAACAGGAAACCGGTGTAATTTTCTTCGTTGACTGCTTCATCCAGTGGAAACAAGTCAGGATACTGGTCTGTCAAACGTTTGTTCATCCTGGCCCTATAACTAAATGGTAACCCAAAGTGAGAGTCTACAATGCAAGCGGACACATGAAACTCAAACAGATGTCAAAAGTGATGTAGTCGTGCGATACTTTGTTGAGGCAAGAAACCTTCAAAGCTGATATTCAAATAGAGCTTTATTATGAACAAGAAAACTTACCCAAAAACCAATTCCACATCGATATGATTAACTGAGAAGGGCGAATACCTTGCTTTCATCGGCACTAGCTAGTAACCCATGGACTATCAAAGCGAAAGAAACGATTTTTTTGTCTTACTCTTATGCAAGCAACCGTACCTTCCCGATTCATAGAAGCGCTCCAAACGCTTGTTTCATCGAAGATCTTTACCGTACGGAAATTCCCTGGGAGGGTAGTCCGAAAATCACTCGGGCATAATGCATACACGTTGGTTGTGGGTGGCTGCGGGATTTGTAGAATGCACGTTCACGTCACTCTTATTTGAACAGTCGTCCTGGCGCAATCTGGTGAGGCCATATCAAAGGAGGGAAGCCCTTATTAGAGCATGTCAGCAGAGCAGAGGTCTGAATTCCGCACATGCGAAGCCAGTATGTTACTGCTCAACCATCGCACGCTGGGCGCATCTTAATTTTCAGTTCTGAACAGGTGAATATGTTTGCACTTGAGTGATAAACGAGGTGGCTCAAATGGGTAGAGCGCGAATTTACTGACCGGAAGATCCGTGGTTCGACCCTGATCTCTACCTCTCGACTTCCCCTGACTAGGCTTGGGCAACCTGGCAGTATCCCAGCCCTCGTGCTTCCCTCGGGTGGCATGACAGCTAGGTACCGAAAGGGTGTTACAGCTGAACAGTTCTTTAGTGATAAGCCCGGCGCCTTGAACGACGACCCAGTAACACATCTTGGTTGCGTCGATCGGTTGGCCCACATATCAGGATTTCGCAGTCAGATAGCGCCACAGACGCTTGAAACCTACTGGATGCGTTTTTGTTTAGTTGAGGGTGGTTGTGGGATTTACAGAATACACATATTAGCTGAAAAGCAGCATCGACGTAAGCAGTGATGGACGAACAGTTCTCATACACGGGAGGCACAGTGTACTGGGTGTACAAGATCTTCACTCGTGAAAGGACCGTAAAATTAAACGTCAGTGGCATTCTGCTGGACGGTCCCATGTCTATCTACGTTGCAAAGTAGAATAGGCAAGTTTGAAAGGGAAATATGATAAGCTCCGAATTTCTCTGGAGCGGCGAATTCGATCATCGTTTCCGATGGAGCCATTTGCATGAACACTCGTCACTGATTGCTTTGTGCGACGGACGGAGCGAGTAAACAATCCGACAGTCTGACCACACCCCTGACAATGTTATTGCGGTGAAGATCGGCAACCATGTCGGGTTTGTACTGAAAGCTAATGTCAACCACTATGAAGACAGACCAATTTGTTCGTGGTGGAGTCATATGGAGTTGTCCCAGAAATAGACGAAAACAATGAGATAGCTGGAAACCGCAAGAGATACAGTTGGTGGGTAAATAGGCTCAGCAATGATATGGAAACTAAACCGGTGGGTCGATTTCGATGGAACGCGGGCAACCGAGGCCGAATATAAGTAAGAGACAAGGCTGTGATCGAACAGGCTGATATCTTGTCTGCAATAGATACTTCTAGGGGAAAACTAAGTGTTAAAAAACTCAAACAGGGCTCTTAGTGTTAAGCAGGTCCAAATGGCCTAATTTCTCGTAAAAATAGGCGACAGAGAAAATGGAAATCTCACATGCCGATTACACCCGAAATATTCATTTTGGGCAGCCCAACTGGCCTTGATACAACAGTAATTAAGAGTGGTTAACCGGTCACGGTTATTTACATACGCATACTGAGTAGCACGATATCGTTCGCGCCTAACCGAATATGGAGACCTATTCTGCCAGTTCAGAAAATGAGTTCATGCAGGTGGAGTTCGATATGCAGTTTTCTGAGTCATGTTTTTGCATGCTCTGGGTTTGGTGATTCTCATTATGATGTCAAGTTCTAAGCATGCACCGCGAGGCGAGACGTAACAAGTTGGGGAATTTGTGCGGAATCAGGCGAATACGTGAGGTGTCAATGAGTCGTAAAGTGGCCTCTGTTGATGTTAAAGGAAGGGTATAGTATCTGCGTTTTCTGCCAAGATTAGCGCAACAAACGGGTTCCAGCTTAATCACCCTCAGGATTACATCGATCCGAACAGGTGGGTCGTCACACACAATGCATGGGCCGCAACGGATTCAGATAAATGAGTTCAGCGAGTCAAATTCGAAAACATAGGAGAAAGCCGAATCGTACATAAACTAATTGTTGGGGAGCGAAAGTTATGTCACATTTGAGTGTCTGAACGGGACTCAACCAAAGAAACGGTTAGGCGCCGAACACGATGAGGACAAAAACACGTGGAGAGTAGCTGGAAGCACATGCTTAATCTAGATTATGGAATATACACGGGTTGATATCGGGCACCAACGAGACCGGTAAAACGACTAAGTGTGGAAATCAGTAAGGTATACGATGGTTCGGCTGCAACCCATTCGCATCCTGCTTCATCAAAGTGAAAAGCTGGAATATCCACTTACTTGCCACACAATGACCTCGGCCAAGGCCGGTTCGGCGATAAACATGGAATGAACGTAGGTACAGATGATGTTTTGAACTTCCCGTAGGACACTGATTTGTGACCTTAGGGTCTGAAAAAGGCAGAAAAGCGGATGGTCACCGAAATGAAGCAAGACCTGTAACAAGACAGACTCACAAAAGCGACGTCAGAAAGAGGCCGACAAATTGTCTACACCAGCTGAGACGACTTCTTAGTACAAAACAGAAAGAAGGGTAAAAAAGGGTAAATTTGCGCCGCGCAGTGTGACTCAGTCCTGAAGTTATTTTACACATGGGTACCACCAACAGTCCTTCAGCCCAATTAAGCAGTATCGGAAATGCGGTTACGAAAAACAAGATGAGTTCGGAACTGTTATATGTGACTGCTTTCCCCGCAGCAGTGCCTTAGTGCCAGAAAAAAAACTCTCTGACAACGAACATAACAGCTTTATTCCAAACAAGCAAGTGCGAAAGTACAACGGCCCTGCGATGTATTTTGAAGGGCACCGTTTGACTTTGATCCTTGGCTGCCTGATCAGCGTTTAGTGGAGTTGGAGAGTACGAGTAGATTTCGGGTGTTATTGGATAATCTTCAGGAATGTGATGGATCCTGACAGGAACTGTTCCTCTCCATTGTGCTTAACTATGAGCATAACGTGGTGGCTGTATTAATCCGGAACAAACGACACTGGTATCGACTAAAAACAAGCCGATAACGAAGAAGGATGGAGGTTGGTTGGAGTTAAAATGCAGACAGACGGATCGGATGCTTTTGGGAATGAGTAATGTCATCTTTTGTAACTAATTGAGATATAACCATGTAGCCTCTGCCAAGGAACTTATGTTCACTGGCTGTTCGTGGCGGTCACGGCTAAACTGAAAGAGCCAAAATGAGTGTCGAGCGTTAGTGGTAATAGTAGTGGTCTATCCAAACCAAAGCGACGAAACGTGGTTCAGCTTCGGTTAATTGAACGGATGACAGTACCCGGTGGCCACCTTGGAAATGGTCCCAACGAATTCTCTGTCGTCTTGAGAGGTACATCTGGCTGCGCAAGGGCTAGAGATGCACTCTCCAGAAGAAAGCCAGGTGATACTGCGCACGTCACTTTGCAAAACTCCATGCGTCATTCTAGGACATATCTTATACACAGAAATCGATACTTTAACTCTCCCAGGAATCGACGAGCTCCGTAATACTACAGCTGAAAAGGACCTAGTTGGGGCGCCTCCCTACGCAACAGTTTAAAACAGCTCTAAGTTGGCTGTTGGAATGTACGTACAAATATGCATGCACCGACTTTCTTTAAGATCAGCATGTTTTGAATGCCGCGATCCGAGGGATAAGTAGAAGCAGCTCACCCGGAAACCGGAAGCAGCCATAACAAAACACGTAAGTAGGTAAACAAATAAGACAGCTTTCAATTGTGAGCATTTACGAGAAACCTAGATACTGGGAAGGAACTGAGCGCACAGCTTTGCAGAAGAGAAAACTGGCATGGTGACCAGAACGAAGGCATGCATTAGCTAGAATTCCCGTGTTTCACTTTCATGATGCGAGAAAGCCATAATCCTTTGCAGAGCCAGGACGGTGCTACAAATACTGCTGGCGGTATCGTGTTCACTAAATGAACCCATGGTATGATAGTGGCATAGTTGAATAAGGGCTTCACGGGTTCCTGGTCAGTATCATGCAAACGAACAGTTGCATGCTGCTGTCTGAATTCCACAAAGCAGTTAAGTGGCGTAGGTACAATCTGGAAGTAGAGTGATGAATCCATCAGATATAAGCTGAAAAAACCTGTGATGAATAGCGACAACGATGTTCCTAGATAGGCAAAAATTGAGACGAATATGGACGTAAACAGAAAAGCCATATGGTCGGTGTTTTTTAAAATTCTGGCATACCGTAAGTGAGAAAAATCCAGAGTGAGCTATTTATGGAATTTTGGTTGAGTGTCACATTGTTTAAAACGACCTGTTTGAAAGACACTGTCCCAATTATCTACATGACGGCGTGGTAAAAAGCAGGTCTGCTGTGCACGATCATCAAACTATTACCCACTGTGCCAACCAGAATACAATGATCTCTTCTTCAGAAGAGATCAGAAGGTTCATCCAAAAATGAGGTCAGAATGTGAACGGGTTGTCCTTACTCCGCCATTTTTTGCTACATTTAATGTCTTGAACCATGGATCGCACCTGGTAATGCCTGCCAAAGTATGCATTCACAACCTTCCGGTCGCCCTACTCTACTTTGTTACGACACAATCATGAGTTTTTTTGGTAAAGACAAACAGCGAGTGACGAAGGTAAATCATATCATTATCGTGTAATACATTGAGTAAGTGGATTGATTGATCCGCATCAGACCACATGGCTATTAGTGACTTGTCTTGTCTCAGACCATTTGGCCGACTTGGCTGTTGCAAGCCAAATGAGGTCAATGTCACAAAGGAAGATGTGCGACCATTCACGCGGTGGCGCTTTCGTAGAAGTCTGAGTGGTATGCCGCGGATGTACAGTGCATTCTACTCGACTATGGGCGTATTTGACAGTGAAAATATAACTTTCAAAGTGCTTCTCAGATGAAAGCTTCTCATGAAGTGGGAGCACTGTCGGTCGAACCTAACTCGACCGCATCATTTTCAAGGATTCTAGGCGTTTTGCAACCATGGGTGAAACCTCGTGTACCACAACTGTCAATCAGCGTGCGGAAACCACATGAATAGTGATCAGAATAGGAAAGTGAGTGGGAAACTATGGGACAAAAACAAAGAAAGATCGGTTGTCCAATCAGAGATCTGGCTCGTCTTAGACGTCGTGCACGTCATATTTTCCTTCGTCAGAACATATAAATAACATTTGATTGCATCTACGTCTGGCTGCATACCATGTCGACGTAACTTGGGTAATGCAATAATGTTCAGTTATCGTGAAAGTAGCAATTTTCGGCTTTAGAAAAACAGACATTTGAGCAAGATAAATTCGTGATGTTCAACACACTTTCACATCAGTATGAAAGGGACATCAAACAGAATTTTGAAAATATTATTCTCATGAAAAATGCACAAAAGTAACAACCTCTTGGTGTGCAACCAAACTGACTTGAGGTATAGCCAAGAAATAAAATAAATAGTTGTCAGACGATATTAAATAAGTCGCCAGACTAACTAAACCAATCCAACTGGTTGAGGAAAACATCTTGAACCAGAGAATCGGTCGTTAGCTTGTTTAGAAATGCCAATACAAGTCCACATGTCGACAACGAAGTTCTCAAGATCAATCACAACAACACGTACTAACAAAGAACTGTTCGTGATGAGAATAAACTCAACATTTGTCGGTTAACTAATTCGCTGACCCCGTTTAAAACCGCAAAACAAATTAAGGAGGGAAAATGGCAGCTTTTAGTACGGCAGCGGAAACGATAGAATGGTACCGTCCTCACAAGCTGTCAGTCAGATGTGCAATCAATGAGGATACGGTTAGCAAGGGCTTGGATACTGTATTGTTCGAATCACTATATGATTCAAAGAGAACTATAGCCAACTAAGGTTGCAACAGTATCCTGTTTATTTCCCAATTCGAATGTGTGACGAATCAGCTGGCAGTTTTAAGCAGCTGTTTGATAGTGGGTGGTGACTGCTCAAAATAATATTTGCCTCACCGGATTCGGTCTGATCGCTGAGTAGACAGCTCGTCATTGTTTGTTTCCTATTTAACTATCTTCACGTTCTTTCCACCCACTTGCCAAGTAATTAGACCTCTCGTTTATAATATTTTTCAACCGGATGTGCCACATAAGGACGCCTCATGGTTCGATCCGTACAGAATTCGAGATGTTGCAATATACTTTCTTGAAGACACAATACTACTCACAAAATGGGCCGTAAAAGAGTAATGAACAACATTTCCCTATAATAACTGCTCAATTTAGCATTTTTTCCGTTGTTCAGTATTGGATAAAAACGGCTCCAATTTCAGTCCGGAATAGGGTCACAAAGACACTTTCACTGTCTGGTAACCTTAATTTGATATATGAGACTACAAACTGGTGTAAGTTTACTGACTGTAGCAACCTCATTAAAATTTCACAATTCAGAATGTCCATTGAAAACGAAGCAAATGGAAGATGATCACGGAAGCCACTATGACTATTTGTACGTAATGTGTGTCTGCCTGTTTGCCGTATGGATAAGGTTGGATGGTGAAACGTATTCAATAACACAGCTATACACGACAGTTTTGTATTAGGCAGACAGAGGTTTCACGCCGGTTGAAATGTACAACCCCAAGTTTTGTAAAAAAAACAACTAAGAGAAATGGGACCATCCCTATTCGTAGCATTTCGGCGGTAGGGAAAACGAAGTGTCCGGTCGGCCAGTGCAGACAGTTCACATTGTGTACGATTTTGACAGTCACACACACAGATCCACAATTGTCTGCATCGCTGTTCCACCGAGAAGTGAGTTAGTCAACCAACCGAAGCAAGGGAGACGATTGTGTGACCTTGAACTTCTGTCGCGCTGTATGAAGCCGACTGTAGTACAGCTACATTGCAACGTCGATATTGACAACGTAACAGGTGACGCAGACTCACATTCGGATTTGATGCGCTAAAATCCGTCGAGGAAGCGAAGTAGACGTCATCATGTGTCTCCTCAACTGGTGTCTATGGACGCAAGCCTTGACCTGTTGGTAGAGAATGCCTTCGGGTCGAACGAGAGGAAAACACGTCGGAGGACAATGGTTGCCAAAACATTAAGGGACAACCTGTTACACTGTACATAGGAGAGTACCGTATCCCGTGTGAACACCGTGACGGCATATGTCACAGAGACATCAAAACCTAGTTCGGTTCCCCCACCGTCTCATCAGTTCCAAAAACCGGACAAGCGATGTTAGCAGTGCCTTCTGAGACAAGACAGTAAAACTAACATTGCGAGCAGCAAAATTATTTTTAACCGCACACTGAAAGTCTTGGGATATAACGACAAATCATATAGGAATACCGGTATTTTTCTTCTCGGACCGAAATGACTCGGAACACCACGAAAGGTATTAGTTTCCAAAAAATACCTAAAAGTCAAATGGATATCTTGAAGTGCATCCGAAAACCTCAGCAAACGATTTGAGGTTTCGAACAGATGGATTCGACATTGATGACACCCTTTTAGCTAACGACAGTTAGATGGAGCGACGAGTTGACTAAATGTTTGCAACAGAGGACAAGAGGAAAACATTGACAGATCGGTGTTGGATTTTGGTAACGTGGTACCTCCGCTGAAAAGTACATGCTTCCTTTCAAAACAGTACATCTGTTATCCCCATTGCAACATGTTTGCTTCAATCATTTACATCAATGACTTCATGATGTCATGTAACATTCACACTTGACAATGCTGGTGTTGTACGAATGAATAGAACAAGAGTCACAAACACAAACTTGATTCATTTCAGTACCGTAATTTCATTGTGATCCTGTTTCACCCATTCCTGATAACCCAAATAAAACGAGGAAATACAAACCCTTGAAAAAAGTAACCCAGAACTATGACAACCGGTCGGATTTAATTACCGATTCCTCCTTTGTCGGAAGGCAGTGTTCTAAGAGCAGTTGAACTACGGTTGCGTTCTGTGTGAGAAGCATATTGCTACAAAGCACCTCGCACTCCTCATCAGAAACCGGAGCAATCGTTCGGGCTGATGCTGTCGCACTAACAACGGACGTGGTTGTGGGAAGATTGGGCAATGAAGAATCCAAAGCAGACTCAGAGGTATTTCCACTTTGTACAGACGGTAACGTTACTGCGTTGGTCACTGAGCCAAAAGGGGCGCTAGTTGATGCAGGAGGATTGACAACGCGTTCCAGAAGTCGATGTCCCCAATAAGATCGCGAGGCTAGCAGGTTGGATTCGAGGATACGTAAAAACATACGAAGTACCGGAGGGCACCTGAGGATAGAAACAAGTTGGAAATATATTGATACGGAGCCGAAATGGAGAGGAGGAAAGCGCATAGCATCCCCTAAGCCGGGTTCACACCATCAGTGCTCAATTGAATCAAATTACGCCAATCTATCCTGATGAACTTTCGAACATGACCAACTAGACAGAAGAAACTTTGGACGTTTGCCAATTAGGGCTAAACAACAGCTGTTTGTCAGATTGAGGGGATCAACACGCTGTGGAACCGTTGTACATGCACAAACAAGTTTTCACAGGATGTCAGCTGTTTGACGCTTTCAATCCCTAGAAATTTCGTTGAAATTCTGCCACAAAAGCGTTTCACTGAGCTTAACAAATGAACGGATTATTTTGGAGCGCGCAAGCACATATATTAGCGCCAAAAATATGGCAGACAACGGTCGTGATAAGGTAAGAAGGGAAAGGGAGGAAAAGAAGAATGAGGGCGAACTCTGGTGAAACATTGAGAAATCTGATCAGAATTGTTGCGATTTCTTGACTCGCGGAATGTTCGATCGAATAAAAAAATACAGCCGTTGATGTGAACGTCGCTCGAGTTTCAACGACAGCAAAGTATAGCTGTTGTGAACGCGGCGCCATGCTTAGTGGACTACGTTTTAGCGGCAGTGTCCTGTTCACATGAATGATATACGGCTGGCAATCAAGGTTAGCATTAGGTATAGAAAAGACAGGTGTGACGTGAGCTGGCGGTGGCCTTGATGTGTCAACAAACAAATTAGTCTATCCTGCGGGGAAAAAAAGTAGCACACTGAAATGGGGAAATGCTTGAAGAGGATCGCGATCACCTAATGAAGTCAGCCCAACTGTAAGAGGAACCAGCATCTTGGATTCAATCACTAATAAAATCCCAGACAGGCTTCGTTTTCTCGTCAGAATAAAAAAACGCCGTTAGTTGAAACCAAAAAAAAAAACGGTTGCGACCAGAAGGTACTCCAAGAATTATTTTGTTATTTCCTAAACGGTACAAATTTGCATATCTGATTCAGCAGCCCAACGAGGTACTGTTAACATTCTTTCTCAGAGTAAGAACCAAGAGGTGTAAGAAATGAGGGTAGCTCAGGTCTGCCGAAAACAAATCAAACTAATCTGCGTGGAGTTTTCAGTAACTTTATGAGTAATGCACTACGTCCAGACAACGTACTACCATATTTCGAATATTGTAGCAAGTGAAATAAGGTGGCCTAGTGAAGCACATTCATTCGAAGAAGGCCATCACGAACGAGGGATTCAGCTGATTCTCCTGTCAAAACCTAATTTGTTTGCGAGTGAAGGTACATGGCAGAGTGATTGGAAGGAAGATAACCAAGTGAAAACGGCATTGGGAAACAAAAATAAGATTGGGATGCTATGCCCAAAAGACTACCAAGTGTGTTTGTTGTAGATTAGTAACCGGAATAATAAGAGTGCCATTGGATAGCGGCCAACATCTGTTGAGGGGAATCAGTTTACAGAAAATGCATTCACTTATAGGGGATCAGCCATCCTGTGACCGGAGTGACCATATTGCCATTGACCGTCCTTGGATCAAAGGGCATGTACGAAGATCCCTGTGGCATTGGTGTTACGTTCGAACAGCTTGGTTTGAGCAAAATGGTGGGTGGAAATATGTAAGCCTATATAGAGTAGCAATGGAAGGACCCATCATAGGCTTCGAACGCTGGTGGAATAGGCAGGTGTTTGGTCAGTGAGCTATCTATGCGAAATGGACGGGATGGCTCAGTGGTTAGAGTGCGAATCTACTGACCAAAAAATCCGCGGTTCGAACCCGACATCTGCATCCCGAGTTCCCCTGTCTAGGGTTGGGCAACCTGACAGTATCCAGCCCTCGTGCCTACTTCGGTGTGCATGGCAGCTAGGCACTGCAAGGATGTAACAGCTGAATGATTAATTTTTCTATGCGAAATGGAGCGTCAGTAAAGCGGTGGTTCTGAGTAAGCATGACTACCCCCTTTTCCCATCATTCTGAACAAATGTTGCCTTCATGTTGGACGTCAAGGCGCTTTTTAGGATATGAGATGACCAGACACACGCCATAGTCTCTAGACAGGAATCTAAGGATAACTCAGTAAATGTCAAGAGAAGATGACTTGACAGCTGTGAGATTCATCGGGCTTTATGCCATACGTTGGGTACCCACTGGGGGCACTCAAACTGACGGATGATGTTGTCAGTTCGTTAAGAGGGAAACATTGCGGTAGCTTTTAGTGTATGTTGGTTTGAACCGTGGAAGGTTTTCCACCAAAACCGAACTGTTAAACAACAGGAAATAGTGTCCTGAGTAGCACTATTTCAGGAGCATATCCATTAAAACGGCAAACAGTACTATCAAACCAAGCTCGCCGTCTTTTACGTCGCACTGTACTGTTGCCATACTCTGTTTCTAGGGGAAGCTGGTTCAACCTGTGCAAGAGGATTTCCGAGAGCTTGGCTTTCATTATTCAGTGTATTGATCGGGCAGTGGAGACTTAGCTGATTGGTAAAATGCATCCGCATATGCTTTCCTCTGTTATTAGATATTCTACACGGAAGTATGCGAAGTTACCTCAAGTAAGCGAACCGCAATGTCGACTCATATGTCTAGGACACGGGGGACCAAATTTCATACAAGGGACATAAATGAAGCTTATTCGCATCCCTACAGTCAATGGTCACTAGTCAAAATGGCACGAGCATGCTGCGGTTCTCACACGATATCACGATGTTCCCTTCGCCACAGTGACCAGTCCATTGTTGGCGATGGCTCACGCAGGATTTCGGAAATTCAGTGGAAATCCTAAACGAACATTTCCTTTTATACGAGAAATACGACAGGAGAAAATTAAGACTTATTCTAAGGTTGGGGTAATGCTTACTAGGGCGGACAGCGTATAAAGCCATCTTCAACACAAGATAATCTGAGTCTATCGAGATAAACAAAGATGCGTTTTATTGTTTTTAAAACGAATTATAACCCAGACATTTCACACTCTTCTTCAGATCACCAAAAGTATATTTAATCGATGAGTAAAAACCAGTGAGATTTTGAAAAATCCGTATTTCAAATAAAAAGTGGTACCTGCTTTGACAGTCATCTAGGAGCTAGAAATACGGTTGAATTTTAAGAAACAATAGCCATATATACGTCCAACGCCAATTTGAAGGCACAGTATAGCTATCTACCACTACAAGAACTTGAAGTACTTTTTTGCAAATCTGCTTTCTTATCTTTGGAGCCAGTGTCAAGGAATGTCCTTTCGGCAGGAAAGGCCCCGTCATACTGTCGTTTTTGAGGTAGTTTTCACTTCACTCCATAACAAATGCTTTTGGTTTTTCTCGAAAACTCACCACGTCGCATCACAAGCTTCAGCAACCTGGCAGTATCTGAGACCAAGCGCTTCCTTCGGGTCGCCTGGCAGCTATGCACAATCACGTGAAGGGGGGAAACGAGCCAGGAGAGGTCAAACAATGATTTGACAGCGAAGTGTAAAAGCCATTACCAGAAAGCTCAGCTGCACTGGTCGTTGCCGTCTCCCTGTATGGGGACCCCGAGATGGGACACATCAATAGTTAGAGACATTGTCAGACATGGTGCGGTCGCGCATCCAAGCTATTCCCTTCAATGCATAGCTCCCCTTTCAATCTCTCCAATCACAACTCCACTGACAACCCTGTTTTTACGCACTAATTTATCAGCTCCCGTCTCCAATGTGCAGCTACCTACCAACCTCCCAAAATCATCAGTGAACATACCTGTGGCTAGAACCACTGCACAGCAAGTACGCGGTTTTCACAGCTGACGATGATGATGCACCGAAAGGATGCTACAACTTAATGAATGTTGTCTTAATTTCGTACTAGCTAACTCTTCGCTACGATGGGGCATCGACCGTGATGCACTCAGTACTACATAATCGGTTGACGTGAAAAACAAGACAAATACATGCACATGGTTCAATTCTGGACAGAATAGCTCTCCCCACTTGTATGGACCGCCTTACCCAGAGTGACCGATTCCGGTGCTAACCACGGGTGGTCTTTCTGGGAGAGAGAAAGTGTATAAAAAATAGTCTCCCTTTCAAATGACAACCTTTTAGGAGTAACTTTCAAAGTGAAGCAATTTTCGGCTTCAAAGCACTTGTATAGTACATAACTGAATTTCGGACCTATTAGCCATCAGAAATGGTGCAAAATCTAAGCTTTCGGAATACGGAAATCATGAAAAGTGAATGAGGGGTGGTCGCATGCGATAGGGAATCTCGAAATAACTTTAACGTATACTCAAACTCAGTGAATCAGGGTAAGAACAGAAAATCCCCAGAGGTTTTCAGGTCATTAAAGTACAGAGAAGTGCAAAAGTTTGCATCGAATCTAGCGAGACTCGATTTAACCAATGAACAAGCGAGAAAACAGTGGAGGGAAGAGCTTGAAGCTGCGCACTGATTGGTTGTGCCAGATAGTGGGAAAATAGAATGTCCTAAACCAACACTAAGTTGTGAATTTCGAGACTGGACATTAAATTGCATAACTGCGGATTGTGAATCATTCTAACAATTCCAAACCAGCATGGAAAATGCGACCATTTGTGCTGAAAATACATTTGCAAACACCATAGCCGGGATTTTAATCACCCACGTCAGCTTTGCTATTGCCATATTAGGAGTGGCGGTGAATCTGCTCACCCTCATCGTCTTACGCCGCAATGCAGCTCGAGGAGCTACAAATCTATTGTTGGTCGTTCTGGCTACTGAGGATATACTCATAATTTTTTCATACAGTTTGTACTACGTGGCCATACACTACTATGAAAACTACCAGCTAACCTATTTGGGACTGTTACGCTACGGTGACAGCCCTCTGTACTTCGTACTTAGCTGGGTGAAAGTGGCCGAGATTTACACTATTGTCCTACTTAGCTTACAGCGTTATTTGGCAATCCGGTGGCCGTTACATGCAGCCAGCTTATGTTCTGTCGGTCGAACCAAACGTGTCCTTGCTGGAGTAATTATGCTATCGGCCGTGCTCAAATTGCCCAATCTGATATTGGGCTATCGGGAAATGGTTTACGTACCGGACTGCAAACAACACATACTGATGGAAGTGTTCAGAAACAAACCATGGTATACAAATTTTCGATTGATACACGTACAAGTTCTGGATCAAGTGATTGGTTACATAATCCCACTGATTGCGTTGATTGTGCTCAATATTGGATTGATCACACGTGTACAAAAAGCCACACGGGAACGAATGCAAAAACAAGGACTAGGCATTGTCGGTTATCCACCGCGGGACTCAAACGGAATCGAGCGGACTGGAGGACAGACAACGATTCCTACAAGTGGAGACCAAAACGAAATGCTCCGTAGACAAAATAAGGACGAGAGGAGAAAAGAATGTTCGAGTTTGAAACCACAGCAGACGGAGCTAACCGGAGTTACGATCAGCAGGACACCGTCAACGAGTGGCCCTAAAGCGACGAATACCAACACGGCAAACGTGCAAAACCGTAGTGTAACACTAACATTGATCGGTGTTGTGTCCACATTTATCGTATTTGAAACTCCGACTACAATATGCTTCTGTTACGAGTTTTCCCAGCTAATCAGCAAACAACTTGGTATAGACGATACGCTGGATGACTCGTCTGGAGAAACGACGGATACAATCACCGCAACAAACTTTTATCACCACGTCTACCCGGCCGCATTGATTTGCGTGATGATCGGTTGTGCCAGCAACTTTTTTATTTACATGCTGATTGGGAGCAAGTTTCGACGTCAGTGCCTCAAGGTATTACAAGAAACTCTGCTGTCTTGCAATTTCCGACGTCAACCGCAACCACAAGGTCATGCAAGTTGGCACCGAAAACGACCGGTTAGGCGTCGAAGAACAACCCGACCAGCAGAGACGAAGCACTCCGTGACATTGGTGGAGCAGTGCGAGATTTAGCGGCAGGAGGATAAAGACAGCCAGACTGCATCTGGCTACTAATTTCACGGAATTATTCCAGTAGAGACATTACTATGATTACCATGGAAGAAAAGTCATTCAAGTTAGTGCTTTTTCTACGAATAACTTTTTTGCAACTGTCAAATGAGAATCCAAGGTTCCTATTCTATATAAGACGATTCATTGTAAACAGAGTAGGCGTTCAGTATGAATACCATAAACGAAGTTCGGTAGCAGCAATCGCGTGTTTACTATTGTCTATTGTAAAAGTCAGTCGGAAGGAAATAAACGATATAAGTGGACGGCAGGAAGAATTTAGGCTTCGATCGGAGTAAGGTTATACACTAAGCGAGACAAATCAAAAAGGTGAATGCACACCCAAATCAACCACAGGTTTTTAGGATTTATGGGTATCGGGGACAAGATACAGGATAATAAATGGAAACATACACACACGTGCTAAGCGGTTGAAGGTGCCAATGGGATTCATAAGGAGGACAAAAGCCCGTTTTTGTGATCGGCCCAGGTGTACACGACAATAGAAATCACGTGCAAAAATTACTTGAAATGCACGTGTATATACTCGTAGAAAAAAGGAAGTACACGACTCGATGGGCAATAAAGTCGAGTAATGAAATCCGTGTTAGACAATTCTGGATAATCGAAATTTTCACAGGCCAACTCAAGTTTAGGAGACGAATACGTTTCTTCTCAACGCCGAGTTGCATGAATCTCCATGATATCTAGTAACATAATACTAATGTATTAGTACGAGGACCAGAAAACCAGTCTCGCTTCGTTCTTCTCTGGATATAAATGTATACCTTACAGGGCATATTTTGACAAGAATATCCCATGAGATATGGACTGTCAAAATAGAGGCCAAAAAGGTTTTAATAATAGTCCAGACTAAAAAACAAATATATTTAGCCCCACCACACGTAAGAGGAGAGGAAACTGGAAGATACGACCTTGTAGCATGCGAAATACGGTTATTTAGCTTAATAAGGTCTAGTTGAGGGCTATCCAACTGGATATATTGGTTCCAGCAGATGCTACAGTTGTCCTCCTTTAAAATGGGATATCGCTGGTAGGATTTTCACGGGGGAGATACCTCTTGATCTATCCCTTGAGATGGAGTTTCCAAAAGGAGACAGTTTTATTTGTGATGGGTTCCATCAAGTGGTAGTTCCTTCACAGTGAAGGAGGAACTTTCATTCGGAAATTTACGAGTGATATATGCGGTTGGAGGCAATGAATTAACATCTAAAAATATATAACAAACGTCTAGATGGATTGACCTTCCGACCAGAAGACAGTTCGCCCCATTGTTCGGAAGATGACAGCAATAACATCAAGACCAGGTTAAATTTTAGAGTGGGACAGAGTTGTGTAAAAAAATCCAACCTGATTGATGAACGAGTGGTGCCGTGCGACAAACAGATTTCAAGAGAAAAGACTTTGTGGATAGAGTAGAACGTGTCAAAACTCGCGTCAACTGTCGTGTACTCGTTAAGGGGAATCCTGTAAGGCTGAATAGTGGCGAACCAGAATAAGCTATACAGAGAACTGGCTGCAGTGAAAGCGATTATCTTTATTGTACGAGTAAGTTCCGGCGGATCATTGTATCAAACAATAAGGGCCTTGAATTGTACGAAGTTTGTAGCGACAGCTGACGGTGCAAATCAAGTGATTTGTTGCGGGCTGAACGGAATTAAGTGAAAAATTTAACTGTTTTTAAGCACAACAGCTAGCGTGTAAGTGATCACACACCGAGCAATATCGGTCGCCATCATGTTGTAAACAATACACATAATGAAGTCGCTGGGCGCCGGTAAAAGCTGGTCACCGGAAAAAAATGGCAGCGTAGGAAATGAGAGTTATCACGGGACTGGAAAGCGATAATATCTGTCTGGCAAACAAGCCTATCAAGTAACAACGGCACCAAATGTCATGTTACCAGGTCGTTTATATATATATATATTAT